TCCTCCGATCCTTAATATAAGACCAATTTAACTAATTTGATTTGATTAAAGAAATTAGGTAAGTTAATTAATTATAAGAAAAGTGACACATTTTTCTTAAAACACCCTAATCATCTTTCTTAATACCTCATCTCCTTCTTCTACTTGATTATGGTTGAGGGAGTATCCATATGGGTAATTTAGAGAAAATTGATAAATATAAGAAATGATTCTTATATTAAGACTAAAACTAACTCAAGAATTGATATTATATTAAGGATCGGAGGAGTACAAAATATAGTTTATGTTCTTGCCATTTTTGTTCAATTTTCGAGAAATTGCCTTGTGGGCATTTGCAAGCGATAAAACTCTGAAGAAATTAATAATGTATTGCCTGTCACCATTAATTATTGATTCACTTATATGTTTGATAATATACTATCTCTGTTTCTTATTATAAAAGCTTGTTTGACTTTTAATTTGGTTCTAAATATAAAATCACAATCTATTTTATCTTTCACATTTATTGATTTTTTTCCAAAGAAGTCCTTAAAGACGTTGCACATATGAAAGGTTTCATGAAATGCTAACTCTAGGTAATATACATGATTAGCAAAGGTGTTTAAGGAAAAACAACACCTATTTATAACAAATAACTAACTTAACTAATTTTTTTAATCTTTCTAAATTAGTCAACTAAATCTTATAATAAGAACCGGAAGTAGTAGTCAATATCATTATCAATTTCTTGATTTGATATTAGCTTATCACTATTTCTCGCCCCCTTCATGACATAAAGGGCAAAAGATGCTTTTAAACGTGATGGACATTAATAAAAGAACTGGTTGCACACTGGGTATGACATTTCGGTTTAGTTAAATGGTCGGAAAGAAATTAGGTAATTTTAATTTTTTTTACCTCGTACTTTCATAATTTTATTTGATTTTTAATGAGGTTTCTATAATTTTTTATTTTTACCAATTACCTGAAATTATAGAGACCTGATTAAGGTGAAATTTTATAGACCTGATAAAAGATTACAGGAACTGATTAAATATGAGGTAAAATTAGATCTAATGGGGAAAAAAACCTTCAGCAAACTGATAAAAAATCAAATAAAACTATAGGAAAAGAGTCTAAATTGATCCTTATGTTCTAACCTAAAATTGTGATTTTATTTTTAAGAGGGTAGTATTAACTGAAAGATCATATTAGTGTAAAATAAAGTATTATTTCATTTAAAATCAAACTGCTTTGGCTGTCTTAAAAGTTGGATGCTTGCTATTAAATGTTTATCAAGCAAGATATTGTGGGGCAAGTAATCAGCAAATTGAAGCAAAAAGACATTGAAAGGAGGCTTCATGATGAGGGCCCCTCTCTTTTATGAACACGAAAGGAAAGTTCATGAAATGGAAGTGTCCATTCTGATGTTATGTATAACCAACTCGCTCACACCTTAAATTAAAAAAAAACAAAAGAAAGGACAAAATGGGAATTAGCACTCAAATTAATATTTCAATTGCTTTTGTTAGCCATTTACAGTTAATCAGAAAAAGAAGCTTCCAATACTTCATCCATCGTCATTTACTTGTTCTCATTAAAAAAAAGCACATAGAATAAGGAGAAAACAAAATTTATACTCCTCCAGTCCTTAATATAAGATACATTTAACTAATTTGATTAGATTAAGGAAGTTAGGTAAGTTAGTTAATTATAAAAAATGTGACACATCTTTCCTCAAACACCATAATCATCTTTCTTAATACCTCATTTCCTTCTTTTACTTGATTATAGTTGAGGGACTATTTATAGGAGTAATTTAGAGAAAATTGATAAATATGAGAAATGGGTCTTATATTTAGGACCAAAACCAACTCAACAATTGGGTCCTATATTAAGAACCGGAGGAGTATATTATTATTGGTCTCGTTCATAAAACAAAGAGAGAATATTTTTCTTGATCTTATTTACAAGTCAATTCATTAAATTTTTAGTATTTTTTTGTCAAACATTAAATTTTTAATATGAATATACTGTATTGTCGTTTATTTACTATGATGTAAAGAGTTATTTTTTTTTGAAAGGCATATATTAAAGAAGTGATTATACATTAAAATTTGAAATAAAATTATATTTAAGAACAAAAGAGAAGAATCAAGATCTTGTGCGATGCGCAAGTCTACATCAAGTTTAACTCAATATCATTTCCTCTGATATGCCAAACAGACCTCAAAGGTCAAAAGTAACCCTCACAAATTAGTACAACTGCCCATTTGCCTTCACTTAAAAAAAAAAAAAAAACACACACACACACACAGAGACACAAAATTTTACGCTTTACATGATAATTTTTTTTTCCATATTCACTTTGTATAATATAAAATCACTTAAAATAACTAATCCAAACAACAAGTACAAGGGCAAAATCATTTTTCAGCAGAACATTGTGGACCTCGAAACTTGAAAGGGACATTGGCCTGCTTCCTAATGCAATTACTATCAACTTCCACGATAAGGTCATTCATAATTGTCAAGATTTGATGTGATTACAACTTAATTCTTTGACCAGAAAAAATAAATAAAGGAATGGAGGTGATGAAGTCTAATTTAGTGTTAGACAGTGACCATTTTGCTATGAAAGCCGTGAAGTCCATGTCATCAAACTGGTTTTTTCATCCAGATTCATACGATTACAACATCAAAAGCAAATTTGGGAGAGCAGAATCAATGGTGGGATTTAAATCCTTTTTGTATTAATTCAATTTCTTTCTTGAATGTATTAGCCTCAAATATCTCAATCTGTCCATTCTGCCAATTGGCTGCAAATCAATTTCATTTTATACTCACGCCAAACTCATTAACAGAGTCTTGTGGCATGAAAACTCCCCAAACCCGGATAAGTGGAAGGTAGCAGGTTCGATCTCGTATGTAATCTAAGGCCGATACACCACTCCTCTAATTAAGAAAAAAAAAAAAACATATGCATAGAGTGTAGTCATCAAATATCAATATGAAAAATGAACTATAAAACATAAACTAGAGATAGGAGACATGCCAACCCATCTATAATGGACTTAGCCCACCAGAGCTTGAATATATAAGCCTTTTTGGCTTGTTGCTCATATAGAATGTCATTCATAAAACTGACTTTTTTATCATGGATTAGGGAAAAGCTGTCAGTCCATATTATTTTTTCCCAATTTTTTTCAAATAAAAAAACTTAATGAATGCAAGCCTTCTTTAAAGAATAAAATACAATATAATATAAGTGTTTGAAAACTGATAATTAAATTTAAATATTGTTGCCATGCATGACGCGGGTCGGATCCAGATGTAGTCGAAGCAAAGTTTCGGTGAACTGGGTGGGCAACAAAAAAAAAAATAAATTATTGTCATCATGTAAATAATTAAAAAAATATAATAACATAAAATAAATAAAATTCATCTTTCAAAAAGCATTAAATTTACATAATAAAATTACACCGTAAACTTAGACAATGAATTTTAATATTTTGTTTTGAAAGTTAAATCTATTTAACATTAGGGGGCAAGGAAAAGCATGCCAACGCAGGGCTAAGCCGGTAAGTCCCAATAGGGCAAATAAACGCTATCATTTTAGAACCAGTTATTAAAATTTAACACTGATAAAATTGATAATAAATTTTAGGGTTAAATTGTAAATTTATCCCTGAAAGTTTTTACTTAAAAATATTGGACACTTGTAAGTTTTTTTTAGGTGCATATTTACCCTAAAATTTAAAATTTTAGTAATATTATTCTTACTATTAAAAAACTAACGTTGATTATTAAAATAGTAGCATTGATTATTAATATTTTTAACGGTATGAAATAATATGGTTATGATTTCAAACTTCCAGGAACAAATTTGTACCCTTAAATGTTCAATGTTCCCAAGTGAAAACTTTTGAAATAAATTTCCACGTTAATCTTAAATTTTATTATTCATAAATTATAAATATAAATTATATTTTTCAATTTTCATATAATACAACACGTTAAATAACACATCTAATGGATACAAAAATATTATTACATTTAAAGGTCGGAACAAAAGAACAAAAGTTTTTGAAAATTAAAACATTGATGTTCAGTTAGACTTTTTAAATTATAATAAATTATCATATTATAACAGGTTAGAACACGTTTACTTTTCCTCTAATTTCCTTTCTTTAAAAAAGACTGTAAATGCTTTCCTCCAATTTCAGTTTTCATTTTATCTTGTTTTATTATCTGAACTCAGTTCCCCAAGACAACTAGACAACTAAATTAAAAAATTTAAAAAAATTAGTTAAATTAGTTATTTATAACAAATACTTCTTTAAATTATCATTAGTCAATTATATACATTGAAACTATATTGAGCGGGTGAAAATACTCCTCCAATCCTTAATATATGATCTAATTGTTGAGTTAATTTTACTCCTAAATATAAGATATATTTCTTGTATTATCTATTTTTCTGAATTACCCTTATAAATAATCCTTCAACTATAATTAAGTAGAAGAGGAGAAAAATATCAAGAAAGATGATTATCATTTCAAAAAAAACATGTCATATTTCTTATAATTAACTAATTTACCTTAACTCTTAATTTAATCAAATTAGTTAAATAAGTCTTAAATTAATTATTAGAGGACTACTTAAATCAGTAAGGATATTTTTGCGATCACATTAAATTTTGAAGACAAAATGAATTAAAATCTTATATCTAAAATCTTAACTATCTCTTATATTTAAGACTGAAAATAATATTAAATATCATGACTGATTTCATCAGAATTTTCATCAAACGAAAGAATTATTTGATAAAAAAAATTAAAAAATAAAACAAAGGCCTAAAACTCCGGTTAATATTTTAGAAATAATTTACCAAGTTTTGGGGGCAACTAATACACTAGAGAAATTCAAATTCCCCATAAAGTGAGAGAATGCATATCAAACAAATAAAACTATTTTTTTTTCCAAACTAGATTCTTCGAAAACTAACAGAAATTCCTATGCCGAACACACCATAATTATTCCAAACATCTATTTTCACACAATTATCTAGTATCTCATATTACAAAATCAGATTCAAGTATTGTCAATACATCGTCAAATCCATATGTCGGATCAAAACACCTGTTTTTTTATTTAAAAACAATGAATTCTTGTGACAAATTTTAAATCTTTATACAGAATATCACCAATAAACTGTGATTATATGGAAGAAAAGGGAAGACAGCTATAGCATATTAATACCATACATAGAAGACTGTCTTCAACATGGAAGAAGCGTCGATTAAGAGGGAGCTATGAACCGGAAAGAACCTTGGTTAAGGTGCTCTGTAGCGAAGCCACTGAATCAATGGCAGATTTTGTGAACCAGCTGATCCCTACTTTAAGCCTATGTTCATCTGTTGGTAACCTCAACAAATATGCTAGCTTCCTTGCTGTAAAAATAGAAAAGCTCATTGCTTTTTCATCCCTTAAAAAAGGACAAAGAAGAGAATATGAATTATCAGAGGATGGGTCAAACTAACCTGTATGACCAATCTGACCATCTAAGGTCAGTCCCTCAATAAAACTGGGAGAAATGGCAGCATCATTTCTTCCCAGCGTCATCATCTCACCCAAATTCTGAAACCTAAAAGCCATTACAGAAAGGATTTCACATCATGCAAAAAAATTTGTGAACTGCGGAAATGTTGAAACATTTAGTTTTCATGTGACAGATAATAAAGCTTTACCAGATAATAAATATTACCTAAATGGCAAAAGTGGACGGCCATTAATCGCAGCCCAAAGATTCCAACCAGTAAAGTCGGCTTGCTGAAATGCAACCTGTGGAAGCAGAGGATAACAAATCAGCAAACAAGATAGTATGTTCTCAAGATTTAGTGATATGTCATAATATTAATATCATCTCATAGGATGAAAAGTAAACCTGTGCAGTGGCTGGAAGGATCCGTCCACGTGAATCTCTTATTGCAGAGGAGTCACCAAGAGCAAATATCCGCGGGTGGCCCTTAACACGAAGAGTTTCATCTGTTTCTGCTTGCCCCCGGCCATTGAGAGGAAGTGGAGATGATAAATCTGAGGGTTCTATCTGAGTAAGAGAAGATTTAGAACCAACAGTCCACAATACCAGATCTGCTTCTAGAATTCTCCTTTTTAATCCCCTTTCGGTAGGTTGCAGCTCCAAAACAAATTTATCAGAATCATATACAGATTGATTTCCCTGGTTTTCACCTTCCCCTGTCAGGGTATCTGAAGACTCCAAGTCACTCACCCTCCGAATGCAGCGGACCAGATAACCCAATATAAGCTCAACCTTTCTGGATGAAAGAACCTGCCATCCACGGTATTATTAAACCTTTTAGAAAATAATGTTACTTCGGTAAATGAGAGGACTTTGAACTGAGATGTATTCTGACACCATGATAGAAGAAATGGCATAGCTGCATTCAAAGAAGCTGCAGAATAGAAAGCAATGGGCTTTGCGTTGATTATCTCAAAGCTTCGCATGTCAGAAATCTCTTTAACCTCATCAGTAGCATACAATCTTATGGGTAATTCATGCGGAAAAAATATCTCTGATTTCAAACTGCAACGATTAATTGGTCTTTTAGACCTGTTTACTCAGGCATCACCTAGTTATGTCTGACTACAGAGAAACACCAAAGTCCTAGCTCATCCCTTCGGAAACAAATACAGTGACCATCTAACATTACAGAAATCAGAGTTACATATCCTCACCCCAACCATTCCTAGTTAAAGCATTATATTGTAAAAGTCACTAAACAATTAAATACAGTTTAACATTTTAAATAATGCTTTCACACGAAACTGTTAACATTGATCTGTGCCATTAAAACACAGACATTTATTAAAACAATTTTGGGGAAAGCCAATATCTGACTGAACTTACCAAGTAAGGCAATACTAAAATCTTAGCACAGAGTAGCCCATTCCCTGTAGTTTTTTGAGTTACATAAAATAGACTAGCAAATAACATAATTTAAACTCCAGTTTACTCACTTTCAGTGCAGCTTCCCTATTGCCAGGCGGGGCACTCGGGCAGATCATGTTTTCAGCATTGATTGCTCTAACAATCCCTTTGTCCTTTAATCTCTCTGCCACTGTAGCAGCTAACTCAACTCCAGAGTAACCACAGCCAACAACTGCCACACTGATTTGGGAATCCTTACCAAAGTATTTTCTCTCCAATGTTTTTAAATTATTATTAACTTTCTGTGCCACAAGAAAACCAGCATGTAAGTCTAATATTATAGGTTTCAAGCTACAGATAACTGCAATGGCCCTAACACATTGTAGAAATGGTCCATTTTCAGTGATGCACTTACAATTGCATCTTCTAGTGTGGAGAAGGGCAATGCAAACTCAGTTGCTCCTGGTACGAAATCAAGTTTAGTCTCAGCTCCCAAAGCAAGAACCAGCCTGGCTGTCCAGTGTGAAGAAATGCAAGTTCAAACCAACAGAAGCGATGATACAATATCTCCAATTCAAACAACATTATTTCATTTAAATGGGAAATGGATTTGTTTTTCCTTGTCCACATTATTCATATATGGAAGAGCACATTGCAGCATATGGCATCATAGTAGGATCTTGCCTCTACATCCTAGTCAGAATTTAGACGCATGGGCTTCAGCAGGTTCACCAGGATAGCCCAGAAATGCCCTGATTAGTAGGTTGCTATTCTTTCACAAATTTAAGGAACTAGGTCAAATAATCACTTCAAAAGGGAAGATCAAAACTTATTATTTCTGTATTGTGCATGGAAGAATTGCTGCCACAAATCAATAAAAGGAATAGTTTAAACTAAGCAAATTGTACCAGTCATATTCTATAGAAAGGCCACTTTCAAGATGCACGGTTCCTCCACAACTAGAGGCAGGCTGTCCATCCATTCCAAAATGATCAGAGGGCTGCAGAAGTTTAACTCTGTCTTGCAAAAACTGGACACTAGTGTTTGCCAGCAAATCTAAGAATCGGGGAGCTATTTCCCATTCATCCACTTCTGCACGCCATAACTCAATGTTAGATCATCTTTCATATAAATCACAAAACTGCAAAATTTTCTTAGACAGAGTACTGCCTACCTCCAGATAGAAGCTCGTACAACATCGGCTTGAAAACAAAACGTTCACATTGGTCAACAAGAAGAACCTGTATCATGACCATAAAGAAAAGTTTCCATTCAGGTTTGCTATAGCATGTTCCTCAGGTCCTTGAAAGTTGTGATATATCAACAAATACAGCTGTCTATCGCAATATTTGAATCGAAGGAAAAAAACAATGGCTCCATTAAGATTCAGCAATGTCCTAAACTATCATTCTAAAATGGATCACATATGCAAGAATGAACTAAAACATTCAAGTCTTATCCAAGATTGAACTCATCAACAATATACTCGGACAAGCGAGACAGAGAGAAATAAGAAAGAAAAAACAGACAGTGGAAATTATTCTAAGGGGAAAACAATTTGAATCTTTTATTGCATCCACAAGAGAAAGGGACTGTAAAACCAGTATGACCAAAAGCAATGTCTAGGAGTTCTCAAAGACTATCATGCCAAAATATAAGGCGTCTCGGAAACTTGTTAAGTCAGATGAGATGAGATGAGATTGATAAATAACCACGACATACCTGCGGCTTTTTGTCGTCAGACCACACAAGCGACTCCAACCTCAACGCAGTATATAAACCGCCGAATCCACCACCCAATATGCACACCCTAGGCTTCTGGAAAAGAAGAGTTCCCGTTGACTAATAAAGATGACCTTAAAAATGTTTCATCATTTTAGCCCGACAAAATGCATACAAAACATCTTTTTTGAATGCCAATTTTAGTCAATCATGCGCACATACGGAAACCTTAAAAAGGAAGCTAGGTAAACTTAAGACATGGCTCCTGGTTGAGCTAGTAGTATACCATCAAGCATCCCTCACCAATTCTCAGAAGCATGCAATATCATGACTGTCGATAGATAGTTTTTAAAGCTATTTTAGCCTTTTTAAAATCTCATCAACAATCTAGTGGAGGCGTAATGATGCCAAAGAACCACCACAGTAAAAAACAAGAGACCAACAAATTGTTTCTTTTTGATGAAATATATGTGACATCACGTATGAAATTTGAAAGTTCCAACCCTTGTATCAGGCCAAACGTAGCTCCTCAGTTTCTTTTCACTCTCAGATATCTCCACAATATCTCCATTGCTGCGATTTGTCCCGGAAGAAAACAATCGTACTTGCAACCGTTTCCTCGGAGAATTTGTAAATAAGAACGACTGAATTCCCCTACTTCTGGAAAAGCCCGGGAAACTTTTACTCTGTTGCACTGACCCGCCTGAAACAGCCAAACAAAGAAAACACTGTAATTAGGATATTTTATATTATTATTTCCAAACATGCAAAAAGAAACCAACAATAAATTAAAAATTTACTTTATCAAGTTCGACTTCTTTTACTTTTCTCTTGTCAAGTATCGGTAGTGCTTCATCAAATGATAAATAACAGAATATGAAAGAGGAAGAAGAAAAGAGCATACGCTGGAGAGCCAAGAATGTGGCTGAAGCAGTTGAGGCAATGTGAGCCATGACGAGATGAATAGAATGGCATTCAAATAAAATTGTATCGGCAGTTTTAGGGTTTGTCGATGAAGAAGAAAGGCACGGGCCAGGCGAGACAAAGGAAGCTACGTATGGCTTTTCTGCTTCCACGATGCGCTTCCGTTGCGTCGACGGTGAATCGCGTCGTATAATCGTGATCCTGTAATTTGTTATTCACTTTGATTAACGTGAAAATTGATTATATTCTTTTCGAGGTTCCCCAATTTCCTGATCAATTTGTCCTTACCCTTGTCACCCACCATTACGAATCAATATCAGTATTAAAATATTAAATACCTGAATTTATCATAATATTACTAATTTATAACTATAAACTAACTGTTATAAATATTGTATATATATGTGGATGTCCATAACCCCCAACTCTTAGGATTCTTCATAGGATTTTTGATCTTTGAATGTCTTAAACCCATATATGTATATGAGAAATACTCCTTGTTTTCTCTCCCAATTCTTGTCTTGCTATCCTCTTTCTACTCTCTAACTCTCTTATTTTTATAACACGTTATCAGCACGAGTTTGCTCTGAAGATTTGAGGTATGAGCCCTTTGTAAATTAATATATTCTTATAGTATATGATAATACTTTCTACTAACTTCTCCTTACCCAATTATTCTTTTTATTTTATTATCACATCTAATTTTAATTTTCTATATATTTGCTATATATTATGTTGTTCTTTTATGTTATTTATTAATTTATTCTTTTTATACATTTTAATTCTATTATCTCCCCATTGTGATATTGTGTTATTTATTTTATTTATTTTTCATACTTCTTATTCTATTGTTGGTTTACATATATCTGTTTGGTTTATATTATGTCATTTTATATCTATCGTAGTATTATATATATATGATTATATAATGTTATTTATATTTGATTATGAATTTTAATTTATTTAATTTATTTCATTACAATATTATTTAATTTAATTTTATTAAATGGCTAGAAGCCATATGTGATTAGATGACCAGAAGTCATATCACTTTTGCAATTGTTCTTTTGTGAAAGAACAATATGGATGCTTTTAAATGGAATGACAAGAAAAATCTATGGCACTTTGATGATTTGATAGTGACAAATATCAAAGCCCTGAAAGCTACATGGTGACAAGTATTGAAGCCCTGAAGGCTACATTGTGACAAATATCAAAGCCCTGAAGGCTAATAGTTCAAACATCAAATGGCATAAAAGAGCTTTATTTGAAAGATTTTTACTATAGTCCTGAAGACTAATATTTGAATAAATTGATTATGTGCTACTGAAAGTAAGGAACATGTCTATAAGAGTGATAAAGAGCATGCCCACATTATACCATTGGAATTAATAATTAAAGGGCAATAATATTTGGTTTTAGCTATTAAATCATAATTGAGGAGATATTGATACCTCTATAGTAAAAAACAATTATGAGTAAATATCATAATATGACCAGAAGTCATATAGACAAATATATGTACCAATCTATTGAAAGTAAATGTTAAAATTGGTTATGAAATCAAAAGATCAAGAGATATTATGAAAAGTATGAAAATGTAGTTATAATACTCAAGGTAATGTCTTATAGAGAAATATGTTCAAATTAGTCAAAGTTGAAAAATATAATCATTAGCCCAGAAGGCTATATCCAAAAGACTATATAATATTATTTTAAATTTCTTGTGATTGATTGGTAGAAATATATTATTATAAGTATTTGATATTAAGATATTGATAAACATTAAGAGTAGTTATCGGTCACTTTGAAATGTTAATTTATTGTGCCAATTTACCTGCATATTTATGAATATGAATTGTGAATATAATTTATTTTCATATCAATAGAATAGCCAAAAAAAAATGGTCATATTATGATATTGGTACTTTATTGTGCTATTTGTGCGCAAATTAAAGAAATGATATATTGTTCATATTTTGTTTATTTATATGCTATTTGTATGATCTTAGTTTGAATGATTTATCGTGATTTATTGACAATAAATTTTACTATGAGCATTTGAAATTATTTTCAGTTTAACTAAACAAGAAATTAGTTGAGAAAGAAAAGTTAAGTATTCATACAATGTGTAAGTAATTTTTCAAAAGATATATTTTGAGTATTACAAATTAAATAAATAATATATATTGATGTTAAAAAGTTTTGACAATAAATTCAATTTTACACTTTATTCTCAGAAAGTTTATTTTAAAAGATATTCTATATTTGTGTTCTTTTTAATTATATGAGTTTGTTTATGAGAATGAATTAAGTTTGTGCAAATGATAATTATAGTTTAAAAAATTATGATTATTGGATTAATTCAAACATTATTTAATTCTTTAAGTTCATACATTTTGAAAAAATATAAAAGAAAATCGTATATCTACAATTAAATTAGTTTTTGCTATGACATTTGAGAGAAAAAAATCATATATTTATGTCACATTTGAATTGAGAAAATGGAAATTTATTTAACTTTATGAGAAAATTTATTATAAATAGTTGATATTAATTTCGATTGGTTGGACAAAATCATCTTTGCAGTATGTGTGAATTCTATATATATTACAAGTTAAACTTATGATACTTATAACTATTTATTATTATGTATTACGATATTATTAAGATGAATTTGTCTCCTTATTCTTCTCAAATTACTTAGTTCCTGAAGAATTATGTGTAAAAATATTGATATAGTTCCTGAAGAACTAATACATATTTTTCTTTATGGGCAGATAAAGAATTAATAGGAAAAAAAATATGATCCATTGATCTACATTAGAACTTCGGTTTCGAAAGAGTCAGAAAAGTAATAGCCTAATCGAATTAAAATCTATAATTATATATGAACTAGGAAGTACTTGGACTTCCAAGTGATAGAGGTTATTAGCCTATTATATGCTAGTCACTGTTTTTGAAATACATGAATAAGGAAAACATGTTTTTATGACTCACACTTGAGGGGGAGACTGTTGAAATACCAGTGTGAGTTGATGTTAGATAGAGTTTTACTTGAAACTTGTTACAGTAAACTAGAAGTTTACTCGCCCAATTAATGTATAGTTGGGGTGGCTTGTCTAATTATCATAAATAATATATATGATGTAACAAATTATTGATGATTATGTATCGACATTCATTGAAGAACCAGAAGATTCTTCATGAATAGCCAACATATTATATGATCCAAGAATTCATATGCTACTTATTCTCAATGAGAAATTGATTACATTGATATCACTAGTTATGATGTAAAATGGATATCTACATTTCTGGAAATATATCAAATTCAGATATATGGGCCCATACCAATAGCATGTAAACCATACAAGTATTTAATAAATTTGATAGATCATCTATAAGATGGTTATATGTATTATTATTAATTTGCAACCTGAAGTTTGCAAAATTACTTGAGTAATCATTATGTTGAGTGCACAAGTTCCAGACTATGAGATCCAGAAAATTTCTATTGAAGATTACGAATTTCTGATCAACATGAATTTGTTAGAAAAATAATTGAAAAGTCTACTTAACAGAACGATCTGGCAGAATTATTAGCCTCCATGAATGGCTAGATCAATACTTTTGAGAACAAGATCTTCATCTCATGGTTGGCTTGTTTAGTTTGATATGTTGCAACATTTATGCAAATCAAGCTAATAAAATTCTCCCAATGAAATTGGCTTTTGGTCAGGAGCCAAATACTTTCCATCTTAAAAGTTTGAATGTGCAATGCTTATGTCTATTGATCCACCACAATATACATATAGATGGATATAAAAAAAATTGGAATGAATGTTGGGTAAGAACCTCCTTCTTCTTGTTTGTATCTAAAAGAAACAAAAGGGATGTTTCTAAAAGAAGCAAATGAATTGAGGAGACTCATACTGCATGATTAATTGATTGTCATTCGACAAAATTTTCCCAACATGAAGGGGAGAAATTGAGTAGCTGGAAAAGATAACATATAGAATGCATTATTATTATCAAGTATAAATCCTCAGATATATGATAGTATGAACCAAAAGTTCATCAAAGAATGCATCCATGAGATATTACAAAATATGTGCCAGATGCCATTACTGACCTAAGTGAGTATTACTAAATCTCATATTCCAGCTGAAAATGCTCCAATTGGTATAAATAAAAGTGAGACATGCCTGAAGCATGAGAGATTAATCGATTCCAATATAATTATATTGAACAAAAAGGAGCATGAAATTTAAAAGTTATATTAAGGAGGCATGTGCTCTAGAAGAGTACTGAGACATAACTAGTTGAAAAAAAAGCCCCAGAAGAGGTTCAGGTACCTAAAAAGTAATGAAGAGATCTCAATAAGTTATGTCACAAGAGGAAAAATGGAACCAAAAAGATAAAGTTGTCGACACCGTTTTTTATAATAATATCACGTGATTTTAAAGAGGATCTCATATGAAAATAGAAATTTGGCCAAAAGCAAAAAGAAAGGAGAAAAGATGCAATAGAAATATAATTATTATTTTAATATGTGAAAATTATGGACCTGCAGTCCAAACACATCAAATACAAAGTTATTACGTGACATATGAATATTTTTGTGAAAATAAAGAATTTCACAAAGGTCTAGTGATTATGATTAGGCATAGTATTTTATGGTGGATGCAATAATTTTTGCATATATTACTAGTCTAGTAACAAACAACAAGCCTTATCCCACTAGGTGGAGTCGGCTACATGAATCACACGACGCCATCGTGCTTTGTCAACAACCCAATCCTTAGATATGTTGTTAATTAGGAGGTCTCGTTCAATGACCTCATTCAGCGTTCTTTTCGGTCTTCCCCTGCCTCTTTTTATGGGACTCCATCTTGTTTGATCCACCCTCCTCACTGGGGCCTCCAAAGGCCTTCTCTGCACATGTCCAAACCATCTTAAGCGATTTTCAACCATTTTCTCTTGGATAGGTGCCACACCGACTCTTGTCCTGATCTTTTCATTTCGAATCCTATCTTTTCTTGTATGACCACACATCCATCTCAACATCCTCATTTCTGCTACTTCGACTTTGTGCTCTTGTTTTCCTTTTATTGCCCAACATTCACTACCATACATCATAGCTGGTCTTATAGCAGTCCGATAAAATTTTCCTTTAAGTTTCTCAGGTACCTTCTTATCGCAAATAACTCCGGTAGCTTTCCTCCACTTTAACCAGCCAGCTTGTATTCTATGAGAAATGTCTCCATCAATTTCCCCATCCTCCTGTATAATGGATCCTAGGTATTTAAACTTTGAAACTTGAGGAATAATTTGCTCTCCCATCCTCACCTCCAAATCCCTATTACCTTGCCTCCTTCCAAAATCACAATGCATATATTCTGTTTTGTTCCTGCTCAAACGGAAACCTTTCGACTCCAAAGTCCTTCTCCATAACTCCAAACTAATGTTAATCTCTTCTTTTGATTCCGCCATAAGAACTATATCATCCGCGAAGAGCATGGACTTAGGGATTCTTTTTTGAACAGGATATATTACTAGTCTAGTAGTATATCAAAAACGAAATATGCGTCTGTCAGATATCGTTATAGCCTATACATGTGGCTCACTAAATAATGAAGTTTACATGAGAATTCTTGAGGGATTTAAAATGCCAGAAGCATTTATATAGAAGAAAATCATCCAATGCCTAAAATATTATGTTGAATAAGATAATCTGAGTATACATATCTGGCTTAGAAAAATGTATTAGAAAATAAATAATTTCGTATCTTACTTGACCCGAAGATCAAGTTATTGAATGCATCAATGATTGCAAAATGAATAATTTTGTTATGATAATTTTGTTTGCAAAATATATTCAACTAAATAGATTAGAAGTCCCATATATTTATTCTATAATAATATTTACATATATTGTCAATATTATGGTAAAGATAAGTTTCTGCAGGTATGCATGTGAATAACGAAACTGAGATTGAATATATAGTTCTATAAAACTATTATATGATATCATTTTGTTCAAATTAAATTAATCATGCTGATCCAAGATATATTATGGTGTTTTTTTAGACTAACCTTTTTTTGCAGTTTTTCTTAATGCAAGTGAAGAATATATTGATAATTCCACATATCTAGAAGATATGTTAGAGGAATACATTTCAATATAATTTGATGACGACGTACTATGCATAGTTCAGCTAAAAAGAAGATATGCTTGAAAAGGCATTGGACAACTTGAGAAATTAGTATACTCTATTATGATAAAATGATATAGAGTTATGTTGTTGACAGGGGGAGCAAAGATCATGCTGTACTCTTTTTCTTAACCAAGGTTTTGTCCCACAAGGTTTTCCTGGTTGAGATTTTTAATGAGGCAGCCTTAATATATATTGTGTACTCTTTTTTCTTCACTAGGTTTTTGTTTCACTGGGTTTTTCTTAATAAGGTTTTAATGAGGCACAATATTTGTTATGGACATCCAAGAGGGAGTGTTATAAATATTGTATATATGTGGATGTCCATAACCCCTAACTCTTAGGATTCTTCATAGGATTCTTGATCTTTGAATGTCTTAAACCCATATATGTATATGAGAAATACTCCTTGTTTTCTCTCCCAATTCTTGTCTTGCTATCCTCTTTCTACTCTCTAACTCTCTTATTTTTATAACACTAACTAATATATTCAGAACTGTATTATTTTTTTTGTCGTAACTCTTGGGTGATACATCCATATTTTTTATCATAAATACTTCATTGAACGCACTTCAAACTATTTTCTCATGTATGTTTAGTGTTCTGAAATAAGGTCAAAACGTTAGTCTGACTGTTAATTTCATGACTCAATTCAGATTTGACCAAAAAAAACCCCACTTAGCAAATTACTGATATGGTTTTTGCTTACTCAACATTGAGCTTATTTTTTTCTTTTCTTTTAAAGCTTTCATTTTTTGCCACGTTGTTTTCTTTCAAAACTAAAGAGCGATTGATGAAGTAACTCAGCAAAAGAGAGGGAAAAAATTAGGGTTCAAGCTTTAACCCCATCTTCCGCTGGCGGAGATGAACGTTATCCCATTTCAAAGCATAAAATTAACAAACCAGCTGGTGAAAATTTGTGGGCTGAATGTCGTTTTCTGCTCCTCTGTTATCTGCGAAAACATCTTGCTCAAGTATATCCCGGTGTCTTTTAATCAGGCCATTGGAGCAACCACCCCCTTTTTCACTGTCGTTTTTGCTTATCTGGTGCACAAGAAAAGGAAAGCTTGGTTTTCTTACGCCACTCTCGTGCGTGTTGTTGCAGGGGTCATCATAGCTATTGGAGTAATAAGATTTTCATCCTTCGTTTTGGATTTTGAATCATTCCATTACAAATCAACACTTACTCCAATTAATTCGTTCCGTTGAAAAAAACTTCTAGGTCCGCCAACGAACGATGGGGTAGAAGACTGAACCCCTCAATTGCTCTGAATCAATCAATCTTTGGCTTTTAATAAAAAACAAAATAAATTAAATTTTGAAAAAGCGAAAAAAACACATCAGCTGCCAAGGAGGATTTTTTGGGTCAAATTTGAGCTCAGTCATTGGATTAACGGTCAAAATAATATTTCTGTTGGCATGTCGGCATGGGATATGAGTGTCCTATTTTAATTATTTCAGAAAATTAAATACACTAAAAATTATTTTAGAACACTAAATGTACCTGAAAAAATAGTTTAGGATACTAAATGTATATTAACCCTATTTTAATTCACAACCTCATTTTAAAAAAAAAGGTGTTTGATGTCATTGTACTACAATATTTTAATATATTTGTACTATAAAATACATCTTGACTAGACAAATATAATCTAGCTGAGAAGCTCTCTTCTCTCGCAGCTGCTAATGTTCATTCGTTTATAGGAACTTAATCATGAATAGTTTTTTTGGCCTTCTAGTCGTGAATAAATAACAACGGCTGTATTTTAAATGAATGATAAGTCTGAAATAATCAAAAATATAATGCCAATATTTATTTTATAAAGGAATTTATTTCGTTTAAAATGAAAGTCTAACAAAATACTTCAAATTTTTATAATATCTACCCACCGTTTGTCAAAGAAATGAAGCTAACAAAATATGCCAAAATTCACATAAGCTAAAGAGTCACGTCTAACTATTTATTTGAGTTCTACTCTAATCAGAGCCAAATAAACAAAAATGTTCACAAACAAGAAAGATTAAGAACAAAAAAAAGTGTTTGGTTAAGAACATAATCATGGTTTCAGAAGTACTTTTACGGTATACGAAGTAAATATATGGAGGAGTTTGTCTTGATTTGCAGAAAAATGCTTCTGAAAAGTGATTATGGGGTTATCCAAACACTTCCTTAATATAAAATCTCATTTGATTTTTATTTTGGTCCTAAATAAAAGATCCTAATTCACTTTGTCTCTCATATTTATCCATCCCTTCTCAAAATAGTTATTTTAATAATGGTAATTCTAATTAATAAACTTGATTAGCAAGGATATTTTAAGAAAGACAACACCTTTTTACTACAAATAACTAATTTAACTTATTTCCTTAATTTACTTAAATTAGTCAATTATCTCTTATATTTAAGATTGAAAGTAGTACTACAAATCATTGTAGTTAGTATCCCACAATTCACGATTCGAATCTTGTGATTCGAGACAAAATAGACAATAAAATATACAAATCTCCCATTGTATTTTTTTGTGGCTTAAATCGTGCAATTCACACTAGAATTATGCGATTCACAACAGAACTATACGATTCACATAGTATTGAGTCGTACTTTCATGTTTATTCTTTTCTGATTTTTTTAATTTATAGGAGATAATCTGTCATATAAATACTCCTTAATGCACTTATGACTTTTAACTTATCAAATATCGATCAAAACTCTAATTTTTCATTCTCTAATTGATTTTGGAGACTTTTTGTCATTGAAATTTTATATATATTAGTCTTTTTTGTGAGATGTATAGAACCTAATATTTACAAACTTCTGATGTTTTCTTCTATAAAATTACCTATATGTCATCTTTAATAATTGTTTATAAAATAGGCTTTCCGATTCACAATTCTTATCCCGACTTGATAACCTTGCTACAAATAGGATAGCGGAACAATGAAGAAAAAGAGAACACAAACGCAGGATTACATTGATAAGGTAGTGGGGTTTACATCTAACCCATTAAACACTGCTTTCTCTTTCACATTTTTCAAATCCATCTTTATATTTCACTCCACCATAGTTTTTGCCAAAAGGCCTAAATAAAATCATCAGCTGCAAGAAGAAATTAATGCCCCATTAAGTCTCTCAAAAGAAAGGGTCTAGCAGCGAAGGACCCATCAATCCATCATCTTCTAAAAAAAAAATCGATTTATACTCTCCTTCCAACATAACCCTAATTTTCATTCTTCGCTCGAATATATCGTAGATGACACACACACACACACTCTTCTCCTGTCAAAATTCAAGCGTTCCCGGATCAAGAAATGTTACGCATGGGACGCAGCATTTGGAAGTCTAAGCAGCTCATAGGCTGTCAGATTTTCTGAACAATAGCTTTCCAATGCCTCAAAAATGTGAGATAAACCCACTTGTAAGCAACATGAAGCAGTGTCATTGACCTGTCTTATAACCTCTCGGTGTTTTGCTCTCTGTTCAACCAATATTTTCCCTAACACTGTTAAACTCTCATCAAATCCCTCCAATAAAGGAACTTCAGCTTCTTCGCCATCCCTCAAGGCTGCCATGATAGGAGAGAAATTATAGTGAAAACTCACGCGATTCTTCTTATGAAGAATTTTAAGCCTGTCCTCATAGTCCCTCAGGAGGTAATCCACTCCAGCTTTTTGTGTTTGTTCCTCTTTCTGCTTCTCATATAAATGGTTCAAGCTTGAGGCAAAATCAGAAAAGGCTTTCGAAACTCCCAGTTCTGAAATTGAGTCAATAGTATGGTACCAGTCGTTGCATAAGTTGAAAATGGGAGGAGCTCCGATCCTGCTTGGAGAGAAAGGGGCAGTCCCATTTACAACTTCTTCAGGTTCTCGGAGCACAGACCTTAGAAGCCACTCGTTCAAGTACTTCACAAAGTCCTTCTGTGTGTTAACAAGATTACTAAAGCATATACCCCAGTTCAAGATCATCCTTTCCAGTCTTAAAGTAGCCCCTGGGTTTGAACGATTCCTACTTGGATCTAAAATATGTACGTGACTTTTGGCCTTCGTGACGATTTGGAATTGTTTCAAGTGGCATGAACCCATATACTTCCACAATTTGATTAATCTATAAAATAACATTGAGTAAGCATATCAGGAAAAGAAAAAACCATGTAAATAGCTGTACGAATCTTCCTACATACTATAATCCAGGTATTGAATCCTTTTTTTTTTTTTTTTTGGGGTGATAGGCATTGAATCTTTACCTCAACCTGGTTTTGCAATCATTAATTTGACAAGTCCTAGAAACACCCGAATTCAAACTGTATTACCCACCTTTTATTCTAGATTCAAGTGTGCTTTGCTAGTAAACTATTATTTGGAATTAAAGATTATAGGGACAATCAAGGTCACAAAGACATCAAAAATTCGGACAGATACCCAGCAAACAAAAGGCAAGTCCACCAAAGTAATATGTAAGATGGGCATATAAAATGAATAGAAATAAAACAACAGCAAATGCATTGCAATCAACTTCCTAACATACTGCCTCAAACAAGCATAGTGGAGGATAAAAGGACCCATCCCTAGCGTCTCATAGAAGTGTGTAGAGAGAGAGAGTTAACATGTTCATGGCCAAGAGAAATCCTTCAACGAATTCATAGATAATTTCAACAGCATCATATATTGATAGCATATGAATCCATATAAGATAATGAGAGAGAAAATCTATCATACCCTTCAATTAGTTTATAGAGTTCAGGAAGCAACTTTTGATCTCTTAACTTGTCTATCTCTCTTGATACCACACTAATAGATGCAACAGCTATATTAATTTCAGATTGCATATGTCTGACAGAGGCCCAGGCATCATTGATCTTATCTGATTCAGCACCATGACCATCCAGATCTCTGAGCCTCTTATATCTCTTCTCATAGAGAATCCGAAGTTTTTCTTCACCCTGCCATTTGAATTAATTAAACGGGGAAACAAATTTTATTTTTTACACTATCAAAGAAGGAGGCATACAATTTTATAAGTTTAAGAGATTTCTTACCACAACTTCCCTGTAAAGTCTTTTTCCCCACATATACAGCTGCTCCAAAATGGCTGAAAGCTCAACAAATTTTGCAAAAACATGTCGTTGATTGTTTGTCTTGTTAGTACTGCACAGCAGCTGTCCTTTACGAGTTATTTGGTCTGACAGAATATGTGAAGAAGGGTGCAAACATTTCTGTACTGAAGGAAAAATCAGTCCCAGGAAAGGAGAAGCAAAACCTGCAAAGGAGGACATAATTTGCCGAGTTTTAGTTGTAGCCTCAAGAGTGCCATTGCAGCCACCTAAAGGTACTTACAAGAACCATGCAACTTAAAATTACTGCCTCTATTCCAACATAAAAAATTACTGCCATCCGACAGAAATCCACAAAAATGCCAGATTATCTCATTAGTATTCACATCAGACTGACACACTGTACAAGAAGTTCTGATTCATGCATTATGATGTCCCTTATAATTCATTGTTGTGCATCAAGAGGCAATTTTTGTATTGGTTCCCCCGGATTCATACCAAAAGATGACACATTTGATTTTCTATTGACAATACCCTAATTTATATTTTAATAAGATAGCATCTATTTATTAACGATATATACAAGCTACAGTCAAAAGTCAAGCAAATCCTAACTGCTTCTCCTTCAGCAAACAGATCCTTGTGGAGCTAAAATGATGGAAAGCAGTAGGCAAAATTTGGGTTACTGGTTTAATTTGACAGAATACAAGAGGCAATGCCTATTGGAATAATCATACATAATAGTTTAAAAATGAAACATTTACTTTGTTATGTAAGATGGTAAATTTTTAAATACTACAAGGGGAGATTTAAGCCGTCCATTCTTCTAGAAACCAAGACCATCCCATGTCTCCCACATGAAATTGAGTTGGTGAGATATGCCAACTGAGATCTTAGCTCCTAGTAGAATGGACTGCTGAAATCTCACGTTGTATGATTCAAAAAACTGCCAAACAAAATGCCATGTTTAATTTAAGCCAAAATGTTGCATTTCATTGTTCAAAGAACAGACAAGTCCAAGTGATCTAAGTCAAATTGAACAAATGACCCAAGTTTTGCTTACTGCTTTCATCATTTCAGCTCCATGAATTTAGAGTTCTATCTTGTTCTTCCTTTCCTATATCTTCGTTTCTTTCCTTTTGCCTTCATATCTGCTTTATTCTACACTTCGAATCACAGGATTCGATAATCAAATGCTCCTGTGCACATCATCTGTCATAACAAGTTAGAAACAGGCTTCATTTGGTTCGCAAAGGAAAAGGAATCAAAATTACAAAAAAGTGCAATATCTATTATAACCATGCAATCATTACTCAAATGTTTCTTAGATGTTAGTATTTTCTTTTAAAGCAAGGGTATTCGAGTCACTTTCTATCCATAAATTTACCTTTTCCTCATTATATTCCCTTCTTTATTTCACCATTCAGCGTATCAAATGGGGCCTAAGAGTGGGATCACATTTTATGGATACTTTTTGAAGTTTCTCTAAAGCTTTCTCTAAAATAAGAAAAAAGAAGTCATAATACCATAGCATTCTTCACGGACATTTTGACCTTTGAATGGAACAAAGACAGGAGGGGAAAGAACAAGCATATCGTATGCGACAAAAATGGATAAAATTAACAGTATTACGCACAAATGTCCTACCCCTTAACCTGGTGCTCCAGGAGTGATACGGTAGCTTGCCTGCCTCAATAATTGCTGAGAATTCTTTTCCAAAATTAAATAAATTTTCAAATTCGTCCTTTATATCCTCTATTGCTTCCTTAAGACCCACTCGACAACCACAAACTGGTGAGGAAACACAACTTGCTCCTAGAGATTTACTGCTTAGTACCATTGCTTCTTCTGCATCATAACTCTCACCTTCCATTGTCCCATGCTCCAAGTTCTTTGACGCAACTACTTCAGAATCAGCTCCAATCTCTTCCTCAGTGACATTGCAGCTATCTTTAGGTGCTTTTTCTCCATCCATGAATGCATCTCTATCAGAACTTAATCGTGTTGCACATGAAATTCCATGACCTGAGTTGAGATTCGCTCTTTTCAACCCCTTCTCATCAAATCCTGTGTCCATTGAACCTTGTTCTGTTTCATCTTCTAAATCAGGAATTCCTTCTCTCTCCCTTACTTCTCCCACATCACAATCGCTACTATTAGTCCTAGTGTTATAGCTGGAACTACAATGAAGATTTTTACAATGATTATCATCATTCAAGCTGAATAAATATGAGAAATCCCATGTAGAGACTTGAGGTGGGGGAGGAGTAGGAGAAGCAACGGGTGGGGGATTTTGATCAGTTACATGCCTATGGAACTTTGGAAAACTGGAAGGCATAGCCATAGAAATTGCCTCAACGGGATAATGGAGATTCCTATTATCATAGTAGGAAAAACCCACTGAAGATCCAGGAAAGCCCTGATTCACAAGCTGAGGATACCTTTGACGACTTGGTGGGTTTTCCCATCTATTGTTACATGAAAATCTTTGATTATGTTTGATGTGCACAGTATCTTCATGCAACACGTCCACATGAGTATGAGTGTTCTCCTGATAACTATGATGGGGAAGTCTTGAGGGCACACTCCATGATTGCCCATGAATCACCCCTGGCATCTCATGTTGTCTGGTTTCCACGAATTTTATACTCAAATTGGCTGCAGATAGGTCTTGATTCTTTGTAATAGGGAGTCTCGGTATTTCCATGTCACTGTGAACATGGTCAGCTAATGAATCCAAATCCACTACAGAGTCAGAGGATGGAAATTCCAGGTGAGAGGCTTCCTCAGATGGCTCACAATCAGAACCAGAATCCTGAGAAGTGTCGTCTAAAATAACTAACTCATCTTCCACATACTGGTTAAGGGCATTGCCTACGTCTAACAAGGATTCTAAATACAGGACATAGGCTGAAACTAAGTCAAACTGACTATATGCAGCAGCTTTGATAAACTCTCTTCTCTCTTTACACATACTCACCAGAGGTGAAGTTTCAAGCTTTGACAACCCTTTGCCCATATCACCAGAAACCAAGAGATAACAGAAGTAGCAAAATGAAAAACAACTAATGTCAATCCTGAATGAAACTGAGATTCAATCACCCACACTAAAAATACCTCCAACTCCAGTGTGCCCCTCGTTACTGTAACTACAGAACGTCCTGAGAAGAAAACGGTATGACCAATCATGAAATTGCGAAGGTTTGTCCAATGCTCCCAACTCTTAAAGAAAATAGAGAGATACTACTAACAGGAAAAAATCAGAATAGGAAGCACATATACATTAAACGCAGTGAGATTAATGCGGAGAATCACAGATACGCTCTTCAAGAGAAAGAGTATGTACAATTGATTAAAGGCAAAAAAAAAAAAAAAAAGGAAACTTACAAGGGGATACTTGACCAGCAAAGATTCGTCAAATTTGACCGTTTAAGTGGCCGATAATACAGCCCCAAATCAGGCTGAAATAGGAAAGTTATAAATCCGGGGAATAGAGGAAATCTAGAATGAAGACCAAGAGATTTGGTTATTTCCATTATTTTGGTGTTGAAATGTTGAACTTGAAGTCGGTTTCGGAATTTCCGGGTGTGGAAAATCACTTTGGGCTTGTAGCTGGTTATCGGCGCCTCACAGATCTCACAAAAACTACGTTCTCGTCTCGAATTCGGGCGAGCAACGAGCAACTTATAGCTTTGCCATCAGGGGCGAGATCCACGACCAGACGCGCCTCAGTGGTGTGGCAAGCACGCGACGCACACGTAAGAATCTGGAAATGCGGCCCGCAACCTGCAGGTCGGGCCCCTCTGGCGGGTACGATTCAGTCCAACCCGAGCCCCGCAAGATTGGGTTGACGACTTGGCCTGCTAAGCAGCATTTTGTTAAATTATTTTTTACATTTTTAAAACAGATGTTTTCAAATTTGAAAATTGAACTACAAACTTTTATTAACTAAATTTTAATTATTTTTATATTTTTATGTGACTATATGATTAAGTTAATCTCAAAACCTATAAATATAAGCACATAATTTATTGGGAAGGAACTTGAGAATATATCAAAAGACAAAAAAAAAAAAAAAGCAAGAGTTGCCCATCATTCACAATTATTGTGCTGGTATCAACTACATTTCAATGTGTATTTACAACTTTTGTTTAGCAAATACTAAAATCAATTTTGTAAGTTTTTAATAATTTTTGCATAAATATTATTTTTCCGATTCTAAATACAAGACCCTTATTCCAGAGGAGTAACTATGTTTCATTAGTTGTTAATAACTTTTGTTTTGTTACTTTTAACTAATATTTTTTGGACAAGAAAAAAACTTAACTAATGTTTTAATGCAAATCGATAAATGTAAATCACGATCCAGGATCCAAAGAAAACTTTTCGTTTTTCTTTCACATTTTCCATAGCTCTCCAAAGTCCAAACGTTAGTTTCTTCCCTTGCCTCTGTGGTCATTTTCAAACTCATCCTATATATGAGCTTGTTCTTAGCGACTCTTCCAAATTCACAATCCTCCGTTATTATTTCCAACAGCTTACCGTTCTTTTCCATTTCCGCCCTCTTCTCTCCATCGTCATCTTCAATCCATCTCATTCTGTTCATCATCGACTTCTCGCCGTTGTTAGAGACAAAAAGGTAAATAGGCTTCCTTTTCCGACTCTTTCCACTTGATTCCAACTTAATTTATTGTCCTTTTCTTGCTGGCTGGTGCATTTCTCTCTTGTTAATGAAACACATTGTCGGATGGCTTTGATATTAATGAAAACTGGACTGTCTTGTTTGGACTGTCGACTAGGATTTGTCTCCTCGCCTCATAAAGGGCTCTCTTTTTTCTTTTCTTTTTTTGGTACTTTTGTTAAAGAACAACATATCTAAAGACTTAATTATTGATAGAGCACAATAACAGTATATGACCTATATAACGGACTCCACCTAACAACAAGGCTTATTATTATTGTTGTTGCTACAGCTGCTAGACAAAGATATGCTTTTACTAAAAGTAATCTCCCAACCAAATATGGGCATCCAGTGAAAATTCGAATAATAAGTCACCATGCTATAGAAGACTAATTTCTTTTATTGGACCAACTCATTGGTTTCCAACTCTTTTTTATATTGGAAAAACCATTTTGGAGATGCATATACTTTTTTTTTTTCAATGTGGTATTTATGTGTTTTTTTTCTTAATTAAATCTTTAATTTTGCTCTATTAACATTATTAACTCTTGCACGGACACTAAAAATGCTAGTAGAACAAAATTATAAGAGCTAATGTTGTTAAAAAAATAAGTTTAAGTGATTTAATTAAGAGGGAAAAAAAGACCTAGGTATCAGGTTAAAAATAAATTAAAAAAATGCCTTCAACATGGTTTTCCCTTATTTACAGGGAAAAAAGCAAACATTGTGAAAACTGAATTCTAGGAAGTTGTGGCTTGGGAGTTGGGACCAGCAAGGGCCAAACTAGCGTAAAGTTAGAGGGATCAACAAATTCAAACTAAGTTACGGAGGAAATGGATTAATAATAAGAAAATTTGGTAAAAAAATTCTGTTCGAAAACTTAATCAGCTAAAAAGAACATAAATTTGAGTATGTGTAACTTTTTTTCCATGATGTACAATATATCTTACAATATGTGCAAATGATTTCTGTATTGATGATTATTACATATCACTTAGTAAGAAAAGGTATACATACGGATTATAGTTACACTCACTCAAATTTAGATTAAGCTTTCAAACAAAAATTTTTAATCAAATTTTTCTTAATAATAAGAGTAACATAACCATTAAGGTCTAGGGGGTGTTAACTTACCAAGCAAATCTATGATTTCCTTACAATATTTCTATATAACATTAGATTTTATATGGATGAATTAATTTGAAAAAATAAGAAGTAAAAAAATAAAATTAATTGAGATATTATATTTAAAATTAAATTCTAACGTCAAATTAAAAATTATTTCCTCCTTGTCCTGTTCCTAGGAGTCCTTCTCAACTCCCATAACCACAAAAATTCAACCCCAACTCTCCGGCACCTTACCGAACGTTGCTTTTGGCAGTTAGAGGGAGTTTATCCGTTTCATACAATTTTTTAAAAAATATTTTTAATATTACCTAAAAAAATGAAAACAATGACCTTTTTCTTTTTTGCCTTTTGATATTTAGAAAAACAAATGGGATTCACAAGCCCCAAGCCATCAACATCTGACCCTTTCTGTTGAGATGGGAAAAGATCCGATTCCCACTTTTGTATGCTGTGGGGAGATTGCAGTAATAGTATTTACGTGAACTTTCATTCAATTTTCAAAAGTATTGACCCTCTTAATTTAGCGACATAAATTTGTTATTGTTTAGCTCCATAAAAAATAAATAAATTTTAGAAAAAAATTACATTAAAAAAAGTTAAAAATTATAATATTCTAATCCAGGTAGGAAGTGGTACCTAGGTTGCTATTTCGCACAACACTTGTTATCGCTGGTATATTTCTTGTCATTAGTTGTTCAATACTTTTTTTTTTTTTTTGGTATAATACGGGGCAAACGCCCAATCAAATCATCTCATTAGCAATCTAGGGTATAAAACCCCCCTGAAATCTCTGTACAACAGAGGCCTCAGTTCATTAGGTGGCTCATCTAACACATTGGCCAACCTATAAAGACTGAAGCTGAAGTTAGCTAAAAAATCTGCACAAGTATTAGCCTCTCTATAAACATGACAAACTAAAATACTATCAAAGCACATAGCCTCTCTACGAATCTGTTTCAATATGCTAAACTTTATTTCTGTACTGTCAAATATTTCCTTGAGCATGCAAACAGCTGCGCTAGAGTCACTTTCAACAACAAGTTTCCTTATGTTGAGGGCCTTTGCTAACTGCAAACCTGTAAGAATGCCCCAGAGTTCTGCCTTAATGGCGACACAGGCTCCAAGTCGCCTTGCAAAACCTCTCATCCATCGACCTGTATAATCTCTAAGGAGGCCTCCACAACCTGCCAAACCCATACTTCCTTTAGATGCTCCATCTACATTCAGTTTAACCCATCCTACATCTGGAGCGTCCCATCCCACATTTACCACCTTCTTTCTTGAACCCATGTTTGTAAACAGCCCATTACACATGCGTATATCACACACATATTTATTTATTAACAAAACAGGTTCAGCAGGAAAAGAAAAATCAGATTCAAAGATACTTTTATTTCTCC